GAAGGAAGGAAGGAAGGAAGGAAGGAAGGAAGGAAGGAAGGAAGGAAGGAAGGAAGGAAGGAAGGAGCTGAATGGTGGAAGTGTTTTCTAACAAGGGGTTGCCAGGAGCTTCAGACAAGCGCTTGGAGTGTTTTCCTGTGGGATAGTTTCACTTCTGGAAGGAAGGAGCTCAGGAGGAGACCCGCCCAGCCACTATTTTCATGAGGCCTCCCACGCAGAGCACAAGGGTGGAGCCCTGCAGAAACTCCGCTGCGGTTGTGGCTTGCTGGCATCCCGCTTTAACCTCCCGGGCGTCAGGGGCCCAATGAGGTTTCCAACTTGCTCAACTCCTCCCAAACTCCCAGGGCCTCCAAGGAGGGGAGGGGAGGAGATGCTCCCTATATTCCCCGGGATTCCTCAGGATTTTTCTGAAGTTGGGGACCAACCAACCTACCCACAAAAGTGCCGATAAACGCAATCCCCAGGGAGAGGTCGTTGTAGCCGTAGGTGTGGGATCCTTCATTGCGCCAACCCCGGCCTTCGTACACGTAGCCATCTTCACCGATCAGGAAGCTGGAGGGAGGAAGGGAGGAGAGAGAGAAGGGAGGAACGTTAGAAGGAAGGAAGGAATAAGGATGGAAGGGAAAGAGAAGGGAAGGAGGGAGGGAGGGAAGAAGGAGGGAGGAGAAAAAGGACCAAAGGGAAGGGAGGGAAGGAAAGGAAAGGAAGAAGAGAGGAGGGAAGGAAAGGAAGAAGAGAGAAGGAAAGGAAAAGAAAGGAAGAAGAGAGTAGGGAAAGAAAGGAAAGGAAGAAGAGAGGAGGGAAGGAAAGGAAGGGAAGGAAGAAGAGAGGAGGGAAGGAAAAGAAAGGAAGAAGAGAGGAGGAAAGGCAAGGAAAGGAAGAAGAGAGGAGGAAAGGGAAGGAAGAAGAGATGGGAGAAGGGAAGGGAAGGAAAGGAAGAAGAGAGGAGGGAAGGAAAGAAAGGGAAAGAAAGAAAGGAGGAAAGGGAAGGGAAGGAAAGGAAAGGAAAGGAAGAAGAGAGGAGGGAAGGAAAGGAAAGGAAAAAGAGAGGAGGGAAGGAAAGAAAGGGAAAGGAAGAAGAGAGGAGGAAAGGGAAGGAAAGGAAAGGAAAGGAAAAGAAAGGAAGAAGAGAGGAGAGAAGGAAAGGAAAAAGAGAGGAGGGAAGGAAAGAAAGGGAAAGGAAGAAGAGAGGAGAGAAAGGGAAGAAAAGGAAAGGAAAGTATTCCGTCATATTTTTCCAGTGATTTGGGACTAGATGCGTCCTTTCCACCCAATCGGATGCCAACTCCTTGGCTCCTCTCCACACATTACGCAAGACTTGAGACTAGGAAACCGCCGGTTCGTTGGGCAGACTGGAAAGTGGAGCCAACGTTCCAGGAAGAATCTGCCTCCTTCTTGAAAATAACAACAACAATGAGGACAAGGACACAGTGAGCACATCCCGGAAATCCCCGGGTTGTTTTCCCCTGGGGGAGGCTCTTCCCCCCAGACTTCCAAGCCTCTCGTCCGTCCGTCCCCCCTACTCACCTGTAGGCAATGTCGCACCACCCTTTGAGCCTCATGTGGTACTTCTGGATCATCTTCACCTCGTTGCGGCAGTCGGCGTGAGTCCGGCAAGGAATGCCGGCCGTGTGGATGATGACCACGTACTCGGGAGGGACGTCCCTCAACGGTTCGGAGCAGTTGGCCACCTCCGCTCCCCATTTGGCCGGGGTGATGAGTCGGA